CAAACTTGGGGATGGAATTACAGCTCCCGTGGTAGCTACAACACCTTCGCTACGTGGATTCATAGTGCCGCCGTTCAACGACTTTTTCCTGATGGGCCTACAAAATCCAGTTAGACGCTGTCATGAAGGCGAACGGCTGGAATAAAAGTCAGGCCATGACTGCTCTCCCCTTAGACCCGTGCGACTCTGGGTAAGGAAGTTACTTACGAGCAGCTCCTTGAGGCATTGGAGGGGAGATATGGCGACGCTCGTCTAGAACACATCTTTCGTGCGCAGCTCAAAGATCGCGTGCAACGCAGCAACGAAAACCTGCAGCAATGGGCCTTTGAGGTAGAAAAGCTGGTTCGAAAAGCATACCAGTTTGTACCTGCGCTCATTGAAGGGAAGCTGGTGCAGACATTCATCGACAGCATCCGTGATCTTGAAGTCAGAGCTGCTGTGAGTCTCGGGCACCACGAGACGCTTAAGGACGCCTTGGCCCATACACTGGAGGTAGAAGCCGTGCGACAGGATCATCGTTCGTAATATAGATTATAAATTATACTTATTGAAAGTCACTCTTTTGTTTAATTACCACTGGTTCGAAAAAAACCTCTGTCCTTGGAAGAACCAGCAAGAAACCCGGCGGGACTTTTTTTTTAAGTAAGAGCTAACAATCAGAGGCGTAGCGTGGATTAATATAACCGTGGGCGAAGTTGCATCAGCAAAGCCACTTTTCTTTCATTCCAAGGATCTACCCAATAGATCTATCCTGCCAAACATATTTTGACACGACATACCTACTCCTATCATCATCATTACAGCCCTTCACAAGTCCACTGCTGAACATAGGCCTCCCCCAAAGAATGCCACAAAGCACGGTCCTGAGCCACCTGCATCCATCGACTTCCTGCATGTCTTACCAGGTCGTCACTCCATCTCGTGGGGGGACGCCCTACACTTCGCCTACCGGTACGAGGCTGCCATTCGAGAACCTTTCTTCCCCATCGGTTGTCGGTTCTTCGAGCTATATGGCCGGCCCACTGCCACTTTAGCTTACTAATCCGTTGGGCTATGTCGGTTACTCTGGTTCTACTGCGGATATCCTCATTCCTAAGTTTATCACGCAGAGAAACTCCGAGCATAGCCCTCTCCATAGCTCGCTGAGCGACCTTGAGCTTCCTCATACGGCCAGCAATGAAGGACCACGTCTCAGTTCCATAAGTCATCACTGGAAACACGCACTGGTTGTACAATTTCGTTTTCAGGTTTTGAGGTATGTCTGACGAGATGTGTCGTAGCTTCCCGAACGCTGCCCAGCCGAGTTGAATCCGTCGATTGACCTCTCGGTCGAAGTTGGACTTACCTAGTCGGACTATTTGTCCCAGGTAAACATACTCGTCAACAACTTCGAGCTTAGTGCTTCCAACAACTACCGGCATAAGTGTGACATGGACATTGAACATGATCTTTGTTTTGTCCATGTTCATCTTAAGACCTATCCGTTGGGAAACACTATTGAGGTCATTGAGCATAGTGCTTAGGTCCTCCAGCGATTCTGCCATAAGGACTATATCGTCGGCAAATCGAAGGTGAGTGATGTACTCGCCATTGATGTTATTATCCTTTCCATTGATACCGTATCCTTTCCAGTCCAGAAGCTTGAAAACGTCTTCCAATGCAGCGGTGAAGAGTTTCGGGGATATAACGTCACCCTGTCTTACACCTCTCTGCAATTGGATAGGTTTCGTACTCTGGTTCTGTACTCGGATAGCCATCGTAGCCCTACTGTACAAGCTCTTCAACACTTCGATATACCGACAGTCAACTTGGCACCGCTGAAGGGACTGCAGCACCGCCCAAATTTCGCTTTCTTATAGTCCACATACGCCAGACATAGTGGCAAATTGTACTCTTCGGACTTCTGTACAATTTGCCGGAGGGTATGTATGTGGTCTATGGTGCTAAAGCCCTTTCGGAAACCGGCTTGTTCGGGAGGCTGGAAGTCGTCAAGTCTGCGCGCGAGACGATTCGTAATGACTCTCGAAAACAGCACGTAGACGCGGCTCAGAAGGGAAATCGGTCTGTAGTTCTTCAAGAGAGCGTTGTTACCTTTCTTGAAGAACATGACCACCGCACTTCTGCTCCACGCCTCCGGTGTAATGCCACCATGGAGGACGGAATTAAAGAGCTTCTGAACGACTTCAAGTACCGGTCTTCCACCCGCTTTCAGAAGCTCCGCTGTAATTCCATCCTCGCCTGGGGCCTTACCGTTTGTAAGGTGCTGGAGAGCCATTCTAATCTCGCTCAGACTGACGTCCGGGATATCTTCGGAATAGTGTCGGATGAGACTCGCTCTTGGATCGTTACTCACACTTGCGTGTGGCTCCAACGATGACGTGTACAGCTGCCCATAGAACCTCTCAATCTCACTCAAAATCTCAGGTGTCCCGGAAACGATGCTGCCACATTCTGTCTTCAGCTTTGACAGGTGGCTCTTTCTGGCAGACAGATCTCTGGCAAAGACTTTGGAGCCTTGGTTCCGCTCGATCGCTTCTTCAATACGAGCTGTATTGAAGTTGCGTAAGTCCCGCCGCATGCATTTGGAGATCTGTATGTTCAGATGCCTGTATGCTGTCAAGTCTGTTGAAGAATGTAGCTTCATCTCCCGTCTAACAGCCATGAGATTAAGAGTGTGATCGGAGAGTTTTTGTGTTCTTCTGCGGCGGGTCTTGCAGAACTTAGCTCCGACCGCATGGACAGTTTCCACGAGCTTGTCATTCATATCGTCCACTTCATTGCAGTCTTATAGGCGCTGAAAACGGTTTTGTAACTCGAGCTGAAAGGTTTCGGGTCTTTGGAACAGAGCACGAGGGGGACGGAGCGTTGACTTCATTAGACGAGACCTCTCCAACTTAACGTTTAGGTTCAGTGTGCCTCTAACCATTCGGTGATCGCTACCAGTTTTCACCCTCGCGATCACGGAGACATCACTGAACAGTTGTCGTCTGGTCGTCATAATGAAGTCAATCTCATTTTTTGTCGAACCGTCGGGGCTCGACCAGGTCCACTTCCTGTGGGGCCGCTTCTGGAAGAAAGAGTTCATCATAAAGAGTCCCTCTTTCTCCATGAAGTCGGCCAGCTGCTGGCCCCTTGAGTTCCGTTGCCCTATTCCAAATTTCCCTACTTTCAGCTCACCGTTCTCTCTTGTGCCTAGTTTTGCATTGAAGTCTCCCATTAACACCGTACCTATATTGGGTTTTGGAGGAATGCATGGCTCTAGAGATATCCTCATACATTACCTCCACCTCCTCATCGGGGTGTGCCGAGGTTGGTGCGTAAACCTGTATGACCTTCAGCGAATACCGTTTGGTGATTCTGAGTATAAGGTACGCAACCCTCGTCGACACACTCCCGATCTTTACAACGTTGTTAACGAGAGACTTGTGGACGATAAATCCGACACCTCCTTGGGACAGATGGTCGCCCTCCCGGTGATAGAGCAAGTTGCCGGATTCGAGGATTACCGTGTCCTCCCCCTCTCTTCGGACTTCGGATAATCCTATAATATGCCAGCGCAACTTGTCTATCTCTTCTTCCAGCTCCACGATCTTCTCGTCAGTCCTCAGGGTGCGTGCGTTGTACGTTGCCAGGTCGAGTCGTCTCAGGTGGCAACCGAACCTCTACCTACTATTACCTATATATTATATACCTACTCCTATACCTACTATTAATTCCTGACTAATCTCGTATTCCGTCAATGTACATTGACGTAACAGTCGCGGACTTTGAAGGTAGTTACAACGGCCTCGCAGTGAGCAAGAGCAGCTTCTTGCTAGGCCCCAAACAAACACACTTAAATTTGTGACTTTCTTTTTCGAGCGTAAAAATGATCAAATTAATTAGTCATCTGTGGTAAAGTCTGGGGACATCGCATTTTAGGGGGCCTCGCGAGGCCTCTTTAATTTCGAGGCCGTGGGCGAGTACCCACTTCGCCCACGCCTAGCTACGCCACTGCTTACAATCATGTATGTAACACAATTAACAACACAAAACAAATTAGAAATAGCTTGGTAGTGATCACCTCATTCCCAGGGGTTATTATCATACATAAGTTCCTTAATATTGTAACCCTTTTTTTTATAGGATAGGGTGACAAACGAGCACACAGTCCACCTGATGGTAAGTGGTTGCTGTGGCCCTTAGACATCTACATCTATCCTCGTTTGCGAATCAAAATGCAGATGCGTTTACACCCGTGAGGACTAAGATGTAATGCCTCTTTTCCAGTAAAAAAGGTCTCTGGTTCTCTACACTCACCATACGAAACACAGCAGTGTTAAGCTGCTATTTGACGCTGATATTCTGTGAAAGCGTGGTCCTTTCCCGGTCGAGCCGACCCATTCGTACTACAACTATACTACCAATATAGCTGCAGCATGGCTCTACCACGTACCCTTTTTATACAAACTTAGTTTATTAAAGTTTTTGAACTTTGAGCAGGTTTTGTATATTTTTTGGGATCTTGTTAAGTTGTGTGTATATTGTGTGCAAGTGTGTGAGTGTGATATTAATGCTCTCATTGAATAATATTAACAATATTGTGAACACAATAAAATATGTTCTCAATTAAACTCAAAAAAACAAAAATTGTTTATGGGTATTAGAGTTGATTTTTTTTTACGAAATGACTTAAAGTATTTTTTAACGTTAAATTGTTGATTTTTACTTTAAAATAAATAAATATATTGCTACATGACTATTACAATGACTGTTTTTCATTAAGATGCATTACCTATCCGTATATATTTATAAAAAATTTATATCACATTTCAGTATACAATAAAAAAAATTTACATGTCTAAATAAGTTTCGGTTTCGGTCGAAACTGACACCCAGACCGAAGGTTCGTTTTCGGTTTCGGTTGAAAATCCTGTTTCGCTCGGACACAACCAAAATAACTAAAACGCTAATGGTTAAACTTCCTAACGGGACGGTTATGGAAATAAAACACAGTTATACAATTCAGTCCAAATAATTTCTCAGTAACACGTTTAATTTCTGCGTATTGGAATGGTGAAACATAAATACATCAAAGAATTTGGCACGCTTTATTACAAAACGGTCGAAATAATAAAGAGATTCTAGTTTAAACAAATAAATGCTTCTTGATGTAACTATCGACTGGACGAATCTTTATATAACACAAAGTATTTACAATAATTACACGTGCGCAAGTAGCTGTATTTCTCATTTAATTTTCTATTTTAGATATAAAAAAATAAACTAACTGATATACATTTCTGTAACTGTTGTAAAAATTAACATATCTTAATACCATAATTATATAAACTCTGAATAGTGATGTCGCAATAAAGAAAATCTCATTTCTAAAGATAAAGGATCACTTACAAATGATTGCATAATGATATGATTGAAAATTTATAAATGATAAAATAAATAATTATGCCAAAATTACAATTAGTCACAACTTCGAACAATAAAATAAAATAATTTTTAAATAATTAGGACGATAAACCGTTGGAGTTGCCACATTAAGATTCTGAAATACTGAGGTGCCAGTTTTAATTATCTATTTAAAAATATGTGCGTTTTGTGGATTTTCCTATAATCTACATAGTTCTTGAGTATTTAAAAGATAATGATAGAATGTTTTAATAAGTTCTGGCAGTGTAAGGTCAAAAGTAGTTGACACTATATATATATATATATATATATATATAGGTTATATCTAAACGTATTTCACATCGGCACCTCAGCATTTCGTCTCTTCTCATTTATCAATAAAAATTTAACAAAACGTGCATATAAATATGTTTCGTTGTTACTCACAGACATATATGTATATATTAACAGGAATGAATTCCAAAAATATACTAAGCTACTATAGATTTTGTATTTAGAAGGTAATAACTCCAATTTCATTAAATCCTCCTACATTATACACGATATGCGCTAAAATATCTTATTCAAATTCCTATTAATAACATTAAAGTAGGTAACAAGAATCGATTTGAATTAATATAAGGCAGCATTTAGTTTGATGAATGTATTCCCTTTTACACGTATTTAGCTGAACGTACGGTCAGCATAATAACTCAATGAAATACTGTATTTATACAACATATTTGACATTTAGAATCGATTAAATAATTTAGCAGACTAATCGCTACAATACTCATAAATATTAATATAATACATATAATAATAGCCAATTAAATTCTCAGATAATCGAAACAACCTCAAAATAGGATATTCTACTAATGCTATAAACTTTTTGTTTGCTTACTGAATAATTAAAAAGTATTGATCAGTTAAGATTTACCAGATTTTGTAAACATCTAAAACAGGATCGACAAATTTATTAAGTATTTAATAATAGAATTTAGTGCAATTCATGATAAAGTTACATTCATGGTATTTTATTACGACACAGATTATCGCTTTTTGACGCAGAAATATATGACTTATATGAACTGGTGCTATTGTATCTATAGTGTCTTTAGTTTTTGCTAGTCATGCTGTCGAAAACAATATACTTTATAGAAACTTTACGCAGATATTTAGTGATAAAATGAACTATAACCCTTTTCCATACAAAGGAATCGAAACGAAACGAAATGTTCTACTAACATCAAAAATTTTACCAAAAAAATATTCGTATTACGGTTCTCTGTCCCCACTTTTTATTGGCAGTAATTTAATAAAAAACTCTGAAGACTACATAGAAAAATCAATATAATAATAAATTACACGCATATAGACTAAATATAGGAATAGGTGGCAAATAAACGGCGGATTGGCAATGAGTATGGCACATGCATGTGCCGCTAGCGTTTCTAAATGTTAAAATTGAAATAAAATAAATGGAACTATTCAGAATTAGCACCGCAATTACCATTCGATAGAAAAATAAAAATACGATATATATATTATAACTGCCAAAATATTAACACTAATAATTTAAATTACTAATTAATAAAAACAAGTATAATTAAAATACATTATATTTCAATGTGTGGCGCAAACTTTCCTACCAACATCAGGCTAGAAATATTTGAATTAATACCTTCCAGCAACGTTGTATATAACACTCGATAAAATTAGTCTATAAAATCTATCAGTTAACTTTGTGAAAACGTCTTTTAGAGAAATTTCAAATACACTTGTATTAAAGAAAGGATTTTCATGATATAATAAAACACAATACTATGTAATGGTAAGTTTACACGAAAGTACAGTGTGTGCACACTGCCAGGCATTTTTGTAGGTGTGACTCTCATTGTGTATCCTTACCATAATAAAAAATGTGGAATGACAGGTACTTGTCACGAAATAGTCATTCTAATGCCTGGTTCCTATATTTTAAAAACATTAAGTTTTACCTTCCACTTTCGATCCGTTCTACTGCGCTAAAGTGCATGGAAACCTTATTCATAAGAAGTACTTCAACAATATATAGTTTCTAGTAAAAAACGATACTTCGGTAAATAACAAAATGTATACTAACGGTGAAGAATAGTTTTTTGAATATAGGAATCGGACATAAATTATCTATCTGGAATATAGTTTTCAGTCTAAATTATTATCAAAGCACTGGAATACCATAATTTATCTAAATATTTATTGTTTTTATATAACTGTAATATTTGTTTATATAGCGAGAGTTACTAAAACATTATATTTAATATTAAATTGTAATTAAAAGAAACAGTAAGACGAAGAAGAAGAAGCGTTGTATTATGCTAAATAACAAACGTACAGTAACGGGCGGACTGGCAATACGTTATAAAAATTCAAATAATTTTAAATAATCTCAGAGAAATATTAAACGGTCATGGATAGGAGTATTTCATAGAAATAACTAATAAACTTTGATACACATACAAACTCAAAAGCAAAAATGCACAATTTTTTTTTATATATCTATTTTTGTTTGATGTCCTAATTTTTTAAATTATATCACTTGGGTAGATTTTAATATTTGTTAATTTATAATTGGTAATTCTGCCTTTGAGTTTTGCCATATAAATGCTAAATATAGTTATATAATCTCATTAGAAATGTCCATATACTTAAGAAGTCTTGTTAATTATAGTTATCATAATAAAAATTATAGATATAGCTAGCTCACTCCACGTCAGACAAATACTTATTTTGAGCAACTTTTAAAGGGAATACAAATTATAGCATTCTCTTTTCTTTGTATTGTCAACAATTCATAGGATCTAGTGTGTTAATACATCTAACTATAATATTTCAGATATAGGAATAAGGAATAAAATCTGATATCTTATGACAGGGGAAGACTTTCATGGTCTATCGTTGTAAGATTCTGAAAAAAAAAAGAGAACAATTTATAAAATATGTGCAAACTAAATGCTTGTCAATGAAATTAACGTCAAGAAATAATCAATATTTTATGATAATTTTTAGTTTATTCTTGCTATTGGTGTCCCTTAATGGCTCTTATTGCATATTTTAGAATTTGGGTAATGTAAAACTCGTGCATTCATCAGATTTCATCAGAGAGATTCACACACAGAAAGGTAGGAGTGCCAGAAAGTTCTAATGGCCTCTATTAGATGTTCCATCTCATATGTTTATGCCAGACCTAAAATACTTGGACCAAAAATTTCGATTGTCAAATTAAGAATAAAAGTATATAATGCAATATTCAATATTATTTTTATTTACAAGGTGGTAGGTTGGCAGAGAACCTATTGTGTCTAGGAGTATACCTGGGTAGGCACCATACACTGCTCTTACTGCTACTAAATGCCAGTACAAACAACATAATTAGGGTTCCAGTTTGTCCGGTATCCATACATCTAAGTAAGAATGATGAGATAGACCCAATAGGAGGGTAGATAAATGCAAGTGGGCTGAGACTGTTTTGTGGTAATATATAGATAGAGAGAAATGTTAATAAATAAATCGAATTCATATACAATAGTTTAACCGACCGCAATCGATTGCACATAGTTGTATCCGTCCAAACCCAGGTGCACCGCACCTAGGCTTTTAGTCGTGACATGAAGTGTTTTGTGAGTTTGATGAAACTATCGGTAAAATATATTAAATAGTAAGTGTGACATCATGTGAAAAATCACATGATTTCACACTTACTATTTGTAGTGTGTTTTATACTGTGCCTTGAACATGTAACTCACAGTAATAGACGCGCGTCACTAGCTGGGCGGGCTGTGTGCGTTGCGGCGCGCCTGCCACTTGAAGTCGACCTGAAATTATCAGCCCAGATCAATATTGTACCACATGTAAAATTATAACGAGTATTATTTTTTTATATGGTAGGGCCATGCAGCAGCTATAAATTTATAGCACGAATGGGTCCTCTCGACCGGGGAATGACAAAGCTCTCACAGAATACCAGCGCAAAATAGCAGATTAAGGTTGTTATGTTTCGTATGTAGTAGAGAATCGGAGATAGTTTTTAATCGAAACGAGGCATTCTATCTTAGTCCTCAAGGGTGACAACGCATCTGCATTTTGATTTTTAATAGAAGATAAATTTAGATGTCTATGGGCCACAGCATTCACTTACCATCAGGTGAACTGTGTGCTCGATTGTCACCCCTTATTCCATAAATAAAATAAGAAGGCGAGATAGGGATGAAAGGGTGAGGTTTCCCTTTATTGCCTGCACTAATTATGATACTCATTAGGGGGAGTTCATTAATTAGGTGACGCGATTTTCTACCCTCTCCCTCTCCTTGGTGAGATGTCGTGAGATATGGCTCGAAACTTCACCTCTCCCCCAAATCTCACGTGAGATTTTTCAAAATGCCTATTTTTAGTGTAGATGCGACCTGTGCTTGATTGCGTTGGGTTTATTTAAAAAAAAAAACATAATTTAGTTAATTATTTTTATATAATTTGTTCAGTTTTCATAACCGCAATAAATATTAGTGTGTAGGATTTAGCTATATGTTATTGAATGTAAACAGATTTTCTCTAAATTTTACACTATTTCTTGTGGAACATAAATTACGGGATATTTGCCGAGACCCTACGTGAGATTGGGTGAGATTAAATTTGTCTCGCTGTGTTTTGTGATACTTGGTTTCTGTGCGTTAATTTTTAGTACCACTCCGATAAAATTTACTGCCCATACGATGTGCTATTGCTAAGTAATATCGTTTCTAAGTAGTTATTCCAAGTCAAAGTCAAAACTTTTTATGCAATTGCAGCTTGTTTGATTAAACCTTTCATGGACGTAAAAATCTACGCCGAGGCGCAAAAACAAGACCACGGTAAAAAAAACGACAAGAAAGAAATTCTGGGATCTTTTTCAAGTCATGTTACAAATTTCCTTAACAAGTTTTTTAATCGGGCAAAATTTTTATGGATGTAAATGTAAAATTATTGTTTCCCAATGGATAGGTCTTAAGATGAACATGGACAAAACAAAGATCATGTTTAATGTCTATGTCACACCTATGCCGGTAGTTGTTGGGAGCACTAAGCTCGAAGTTGTTGACGAGTATGTTTACCTGGGACAAATAGTCCGACTAGGTAAGTCCAACTTCGACCGAGAGGTCAATCGACGGATTCAACACGGCTGGGCAGTGTTCGGGAAGCTACGACACATCTTCTCGTCAGACATACCTCAAAACCTTAAAACGAAATTGTACAACCAGTGCGTGTTGCCAGTGACGACTTACGGATCTGAGACGTGGTCCTTCACTGCTGGCAGTATGAGGAAGCTCAAGGTCGCTCAGCGAGCTATGGAGAGGGCTATGCTCGGGGTGTCACTGCGTGATAAACATAGAAATGAGGATATCCGCAGTAGGACCAGAGTAACCGACATAGCCCAACGGATTAGTAATTTTTTAATAAATCCATAGATTTATTAAAAAAATTAAAATTGAAAAATTATGAATTTATGAAAAAAAAACTTCCTATTTTTAACTTATTTGAATTTGGCATACACCGAATGTATCACCACAACCCGTTTTACAGGCGACAGTCAGTTTCTTTCATCATTCAGTCGGTTTTTTTCATACTTACCTAACTTACATATTATATGTTCATGATGTTCTCAAAATTAAGCAATAATGGAATAATAAGTTTCTTCACGAATATTACGCATTGAATAAAATGAATTTTACGGATTCTATCGAGTTAACTTTTTTAATTTCTGACGTTGCGGGCACTTTACAGCAGCCATGGTCCCTGGGGACCAACAACGGAAGGCTCTTCCGGGAGAAGTCAAAAAGTTGGTTTCCTTGAAAAGATCGCGTAGCGGACTAGGGGACCCCAAGATGCAGAATATTTACAATGTACCGTACATTTTAACATTTTATTTTTGCTACATTTAAATAGTTTTAACCACTAACCATTTGGTAACAATGTGCAATATTTGGTTGCGACGGTATTAAAATTGATAATAATCTATATTATAATTTTATAAAACCCGTAATTGTTCGATCCTCAAGATTGTGTACAAGAAACCAATCGACGTAGAATTGAAAACGAAAGATTTTACCTAATCTTTTTTATGTTGATAACATTGTCTGGTCGTTTCCATTGTAACTAAATGCAATAATATAAATATGATTATGGGTTTAAGTTTACTCTGTCTATTGTTTGGTATTATATCAACATTAACATTATGCGCGCACAATAAGCATACTACTGTCAAACTGACATAGCGCATTAACTTTATGTATTTTTAAAGAACATTTGTTATTTTAATTTAATTGTAAGTGATTTAATACAGTGACCGTATGCTGTTTTTTTTTTTCATTAAAGTACATAATTTATATAACAATAAATATGTACATGAGTAGTTCGTCAGGCTCTAAGCACTTGCCGCAAATTTCACAATACGTCACCAACCCGGTTTCGATCCGCGCCGGTTCAAATTAAATAGTTAATTGCAATTTTAAGTACCGATGAAAACATCTTAAGGGAGCCCCTCTATAACTAGGAAATATTTTGAAAGACTTAAGAAGTCAGCCAGCACCAGCACGCACTGGAACAGCACAGAGGACAAATTGTTCCATGACCATATTAAAAATTAGTACAGGATAAATACGAGTAAATAAATAAATAGCAATAATAATAAAAAAAATTAAAATGGCGGTGTGTCTTCACTTAGGTACAGCGTACACAGTAAAAAAAAATACATTTAGAGGGTGAAGTTGTCAGTATACCCAATACTATATTATCGCGCATAATACATACATTGTTGTTAGTACACTTTGTTCCACGACGGTTGTCTTTTTAAGATATGTACGATGTGAAAAGCCATAAAATAAAAATATTACATATATTGACACAATATACGATTGAAGCGCAAATATATTCGATATACAATAATTCTTACTCGTATACGATAAATAAAGTGCCCTGGGTTGAGGGTCGTATTTGATGTGTGTCGTTTGGTAACTGACCTGCATTAGCCACTGCTGACCACGCGATCTGTTGCACGGCCGCAGCACCGGCTTCCACACGTCCGAAGACTCCGGCTTGTCCAGACACATGCCCGTGTTCGTGTGCTTTATAATACGTGTCTGAAACAAACGTGCACACATATCGATGTTAGAACTAATACTTTGTACATACAAACTAATACATTAATTTAATAGGGTCTAAGTATATTTAAGTATATTTTCTTGTTATGATCAAATGCAAGATATAATTATTGCAATGTGGTATGGGAGCAAGAGAATTCATCGTCCTAATACGCAAGAGCCGACCACAGGAAATGCCGAAAAAATTTATGACGTCTAATGTATGACACAATACGTTCAAATTATCCAGACAGTCAAAAGTGCAAGAAGTATGGTACCAGCCTACCTGCTGATGAATATGATGGCGTCAGATTAACAATTAACCCACATCGTTCGCCTCTTAATTCGTAAGAGGCGACATAAAATTTGGAAGTGTCCGACAGCTTGCAGAATTGTCATATTTAATTATGTATATCCCCAAAACTAAAATACTGGAACGGAGAACACTCTCCTTTGGTAAGGAAGGAATGTACTCTTCAATAATTCGACATGCTTAACGTGTCATTTACGACAAGTGAATTTCCGATGACTGAAAGAATTTTCAACAGTGAACTATTTATGGGGTAACGTTAATAGGACCTCAGTTAATAACAAGTAACTCACCTTCGTACCATAAGTTAACAGAAACACATTCGTATCGCATGTTAACAGTAACTCACCTTCGTATCGCATGTTAACAGTAACTCACCGTCGTATCGTATGTTAACAGTAACTCACCTTCGTATCGTATGTTAACGGTAACTCACCTTTGTATCGTATGTTAACAGTAACTCACCTTCGTATCGTATGTTAACAGTAACTCACCTTCGTATCATAGTGTTACGCGCCACTATTAATGTCTTGTACATGGCAACACTAGTTACACTAGCGCCCCCTAGTGTCGAGTAAATGAAAGTATTGCGCGCCACTATTAATGTCTTGTACATGGCAACACTAGTCACACTAGCGCCCTCTAGTGTCGAGTAGCAGAACTAGGAGAGTCGAGATCCTTCCAGAAATTTCGGGACCGATATGTACTCGAACATTCTAGATGTCGCTACAGTAGAAGGTTCTGGAAACTATCTGCGGCCCTATATAAGGCCGGTATAGACCACGACCGGGGCAGTATTGAATTGGCGATACAAGAGAATACTTCGAAGCGAAATAACGGCGAACTGTGTTTTATTATTAGTGTGATTTTTGATTGTAATTAGTGTTGTGTAATTAAAGTGTCAATTTTGGTAATTCAGTCGGCAGTTTTTAATTGTCTCGAACCCGAAGCTCGTAACAATTGGTGTCAGAAGTGGGATCAAATATGCCGATTTTACCTAAAGACGACACGGAGGGTATCCGTACCCGAAGTCAACGCCAACAGGAGACGGACCAGAGACGATTTGGTAATGCAACGCCGCAAACGTCGGAGGGCCAGTTGCTAACCACGGAGGCTGGCCCGTCAGCAGCTCCTGCATCTGCAGCACCTGACTTGGGTGCTCTGATGATGATGCTGCAGGATCAGGCTCGCCGACAGGAGGAACAGGCCCGCCGACAGGAGGAACAGGCCCGCCGACAGGAGGAACAGACCCGTCGGCTGGAAGAGCAGCTACAGCGCAGTATGGAAGAACAGATGCTCCTCAGGAAGGACCTTCACGCTACCTTCGGGAAAGAGATAAAGGAGGTGAAGGATAGGGTTGCTCAACATGACAACCGCCTGTCGGAAGCTGAAACCCGAATCGACCAAGTGAACAATCGGGTTGACAACGTGATGGCTGATGTGAAGAAAACGCTGGACGACCTCAAACTTGGGGATGGAATCACAGCTCCCGTGGTAGCTACAACACCTTCGCTACGTGGATTCAAAGTGCCGCCGTTCGACGGGAGTTCTTCCTGGTCGGCCTACAAAATCCAGTTCGAGGCTGTCATGAAAGCGAACGGCTGGAATAAAAGTCAGGCCATGACTGCTCTCACCCTAGGCCTACGCGACCAGGCCTTAACTGTTTTGGAAGCGCTCGGTAAGGAAGTGACTTACGAGCAGCTCCTTGAGGCATTGGAGGCGAGATATGGCGATGCTCACCTGGAACACGTCTTTCGTGCGCAGCTCAAAGATCGCGTGCAACGCAGTAACGAAAACCTGCAGCAGTGGGCCCTTGAGGTGGAGAAGCTGGTTCGAAAAGCGTACCAGTCTGTACCTGTGCTCATTGTAGGGAACCTGGTGCAGACTTTCATCGACGGCATCCGCGACCTTGAAGTCAGAGCTGCTGTGAGGCTCGGGCACCACCAGACGCTTAAGGACGCCCTGACCCATGCACTGGAGGTGGAAGCCGTGCGGCAGGATCATCGTTCCCACCGCGTCAGGGAGGTTGCAGCAGCTACAGTTCAGGACCGCAATAAGGGCTATAACCCTAGGTGCTACGGCTGTGGGGAAAGGGGCCATCTTCGATCCAGCTGCCCTAAACGAACTGTAGAAAGGGAAGGTGATCGATCTCGAGAGGGTAGTGCGGATAATAGCACCGCCCAGCAGCAGCAGGGAAACGAGTAAAAGCCAGGACTGCGGGGCGGGTGCTGGCTGATGTTAAAAGAGCCCCAAGGATTTCGATCTCACAAACCCATGATGGGAACAGCCTAATCATCAAGGGCGAAGTCAACGGAACGCCGTGTAAACTGACCATAGACACTGGAGCCTCTCGCACGGTTGTCAGTTCCCAACTTATAAGTCGGTTCCTTGGGGACTCCGCATACAACCGAGAACGCATTAATTTGGTGACAGCCACTGGTCAGCGCATACCCGTCCGTGGAGAGAAGGAGATGGAGTTGAAGCTAGGCAACATGATCTACCTGCATAATGTCATCGTGGCTGATATAATGGACGACTGCATCCTGGGCCTAGACTTTATGAGGAAGAATTGTTTTGAGATCGACGTTAAGCAAGGTGTTTTGAAATGTGGACAAGAAGAACTTTTCGTGGAAGGGGCGTTACCAGGGAATGTGTACAGCCTTAAGAAGATTGTTCTTCCGCCGAGATCGGAAACGATTGTGCCGGTTAGTCTTCCTCGGAGTCCTGGGCAAGCCCATCGTTGTGTACTCGTGGAAAGGGTAGACAATGACCTTCCATGGAAAGTGGCTCGAACCTTGGTCAGAACCACCGACATCTCAGGAGTACGTGTGTTGAACCTTTGTGATCAGGAACAGATTATAGAAAAAGGCACATTGGTTGGTACTAGTGAGGAAGTGGATTGGTTGCGTCGATGCGAATATCTATCGACCGGGACCCCCAGCAAGGATGGACAAACGATAGTGACCACACTTTTGGAAGACTGTCGCAGCGTTCTTTCCCCGAATGAAATGGTCAAGGCGAAGAAGTTGTTACTCAAGTACGCCAATGTTTTCTCGTCAAACGAAGCTGACATAGGAAAGACTGGCTTAGTTCAACACAAAATAAACACAGGACAAGAATTGCCTATTCGTCAGCGGCCAAGAAGATTGCCTGTAGCACGTGAAAAGGAAGTGGAAACCATGATTGAGGGAATGGTGAAGGATGGTGTTATTGAACCTTCATCTAGTCCATGGTGTTCACCTGTGGTGCTGGTAAAGAAGAAGGACGGCAGCATGCGGTTTTGTGTTGACTATCGCCGCCTGAACGACATTACAAAGAAGGACAGCTATCCCTTGCCAAGAATAGATGACACGCTGGATATGCTTACAGGCGTAAAGTGGTTTAGTACGCTAGATCTGAAAAGTGGCTACTGGCAGGTTGAAATTGACCCTAAGGACAAGGAGAAAACTGCATTCTCCACAGGAAAGGGTCTGTGGCAATTCAAAGTCATGCCGTTTGGATTGTGCAATGCTCCAGCAACGTTTGAAAGGTTGATGGAGCTTGTACTTACCGGGCTAATTGGAGATGCTTGTCTGGTCTATTTGGATGACATCATCATCGTAGGCCGTACGTTTGAGGAACACCTTCAAAACCTGGAACGCGTGCTCATGAAGATCCAGAGTGCCAACCTCAAGTTGAGTCCGAAGAAGTGCTCACTATTCAAACGGCAAGTTAGATTTTTGGGGTATGTAGTGTCGGAAGAAGGTATCCGCACGGATCCAGAGAAAATTGCTGCTGTCAAGGAGTGGCCGGTCCCAAAAGACAAGACACAGGTTAGAGCATTTTTGGGTTTGTGCTCTTATTATCGGCGATTTGTGAAGAACTTTGCAGATATAGCCAAACCTCTGCACAAGCTAACCGAGCAGAAGCGACAATTCTGCTGGGATGAAAGTTGCGATATTGCATTCCAGGAGCTCAAGAACCGCCTGTGCAAAACACCTATTTTGGGGTACCCTGATGCGGGCAAGGAATTCATAGTTGACACAGACGCAAGTGATATAGGACTTGGCGGTGTGTTGTCTCAACGGAATGGTGATCAAGAGATTGTGATAGCGTACTTCAGCAAGTCGTTGTCAAAGCCGGAAAGGAACTATTGTGTCACAAGACGGGAATTGCTTGCTGTGGTAAAGTCCTTGCAGCATTTTAGCAAATATCTTCTAGGGCGGAAATTCCACTTACGAACTGACCATGCTGCACTGAAATGGCTATTGCAGTTCAAAAATCCGGAAGGACAAGTTGCGAGATGGATAGAACTACTGCAGGAATACGACTTTGTGATCGAACATCGCAGCGGGAAATCTCATGGCAATGCAGATGCATTGTCAAGAAGACCTTGCCCTGAAGATTGCAAGCATTGTACTAGGCAAGAGGGTAAGGAAGTGGTATCTGTGAGAATGCTCAGGACAGACCAGCTCAGCAATGAGTGGAAGGACAGCCTACAACATGCACAGCAGGAAGATTCGGACATTAAGCCGATTCTGGAATGGATGAAGGCCAGTGCTCCTAAGCCCAAGTGGAGCGACGTCTCAGCAATGAGTTCGACCACGAAAAGCTATTGGGCCCAATGGGACAGCTTGCTGATTCAGGATGGAGTCCTGTGCCGTAAATGGGAAAATGGTCGGGGAGACAGGTGTCATTTGCAAATGGTTGTCCCTAAGGCTAAAGTGCCGGATATTCTACAGCTGTACCATAGTGGTTGTTCAGGAGGCCACCTGGGAGTTAAACGAACTCTCCTGAAGATCCGAGAACGGTTTTACTGGGTCCACTGTCGTGACGATGTCGAGGACTGGTGCCGCAAATGTACAAGTTGTGCGGCTGTAAAGGGACCTCAAATTCGTAGTAGAGGCGCATTGAAATTGTACAATGTTGGTGCACCATGGGAGAGGATAGCCATTGACGTTGCGGGGCCGTTTCCAGAAACTGAAAGTGGTAACAAGTATTTCATGGTAGTGATGGATTACTTCACTAAGTGGCCAGAAGTCTTCGCCATTCCAAATCAAGAAGCTTCAACAGTTGCAGATAAACTAGTTCATGAAGTCTTCTGTCGTTTTGGAGTACCTTTAGAGATTCACAGCGATCAAGGAAGGAATTTTGAGTCTCAAATATTCCAGGAAACTTGCCGAGTTATGGGTACTCAGAAAACACGAACAACTTCTTACCACCCACAATCTGATGGAATGGTAGAAAGATTTAATCAGACATTGGAGAGGTACCTAGCAAAAGTTGTGGAAAAACGGCAACGAGACTGGGACAGGCACATACAACCGTTTTTGTTGTCATATCGAAGCGCTGTTCACGAAAGTACATCAGTGACACCAGCTTTCGCAAACTTTGGGAGAGAATTGCGGCTGCCTGCAGACCTGATCACCGGAATACCACCTGATGCCCCACGCAGTATAACCGATTATGCAAATGACTTGCGGAACAAAATGAATGACATTTATGAGCACGTCAGACAGACGGGCCAGCAAACGTCTGAGAAGATGAAAACACGGTATGACCGCAAAATGAACAACAAGGGCTTTGATGAAGGTTCACTAGTGTGGTTACACAATCCAGTTCGCAGCAAAGGGAAATCTCCTAAGCTTCAAGCTAAATGGGACGGACCGTACCGGATTGTGACAAGGATCAATGACGTAACCTACCGGATACAGAAAGGTGCCAGAGGTACTCCTAAGATTGTCCATGTGGATCGACTGGCGCGTTATTATGGGGCCAATAATGCTCGGGACGAGCATGTCTTAGGAGGGGGCAGTGTTACGCGCCACTATTAATGTCTTGTACATGGCAACACTAGTTACACTAGCGCCCCCTAGTGTCGAGTAAATGAAAGTATTGCGCGCCACTATTAATGTCTTGTACATGGCAACACTAGTCACACTAGCGCCCTCTAGTGTCGAGTAGCAGAACTAGGAGAGTCGAGATCCTTCCAGAAATTTCGGGACCGATATGTACTCGAACATTCTAGATGTCGCTACAGTAGAAGGTTCTGGAAACTATCTGCGGCCCTATATAAGGCCGGTATAGACCACGACCGGGGCAGTATTGAATTGGCGATACAAGAGAATACTTCGAAGCGAAATAACGGCGAACTGTGTTTTATTATTAGTGTGATTTTTGATTGTAATTAGTGTTGTGTAATTAAAGTGTCAATTTTGGTAATTCAGTCGGCAGTTTTTAATTGTCTCGAACCCGAAGCTCGTAACAATATGTTAACAGTAACTCACCTTCGTATCATAAGTCCACTCCTGATTGCCACGCATCCCGTGACACCGTATAAGCTTGACGGGTCCTCGTGGATTCGCCGCGTCCAAACAGTTGTCGTCCGACATGATTTGCTTGCGTTTTGTATACGCAAACACTTGGTTACCACCCATACCATGACAGTAACCCATTCCCAATGCCTGTCCAGCTTTGCCGCCCATCGTGTCCAAGCAGTTCGAGGTCTCCGCGTTACGAATCTACGCAAACGCAAAAAAACATCTTAAGAAATTTTTCAAATTTTATGTGGTGGTTTCAGTATTACATAAAATATAAAATATTTATTAAATGTAAAAATATCTTTCAAGGCTATAGGGAACTAGTGAAATTCATTTATGTTTTATAATACGAGCGCTTCACTTTTAATAAAATTCATTAACATTTGCAACTAAACAGGTTTTGTAGATCGCTTTTTAGGATGTTCAAATTTTAATTTTTGCATAGATCAAATCACGGGTTCTGCTTTTGGTGTAAATTTATTATCAAAATGTATCCATATAAAATATATTGTTAGTCATAACTAGTAGGTAACTACATGGAGATCGTCTAATTTATAACTCAAATTTAAAATTTTAAAACCCCCCGTAAAAAACGCTGATGACCTTTAAACAGCTGAACCGATTTTGATAAAACACCGCTACAAAACCAGTTTTTAAATTTAAAAAAAATCGCATCCAAATCAGTTTACCCTTTTAAGGCATACGGTGCCACACACAGACATAGCAGTCAAACTTATAATAGGTACCCCTCTTTTTGTTCTGGGGGTTAAAAACTGTACGCGCCCTCCGTTGTAATTTTGGTAGACTTTATTACATTTACCATATTAAGTATCATAAAATGAAAATTTGCACGGTTTTTCCTTTGTGCTTTAGTAGATTTTAATATTTTGACTATATCTGATATAATATCTAACTAAGATACAAGGGAAGGCGCCTGCAGTTTTAAATTAGCCGATCACTAGTTTTTAAATGATAATATGTAAGAATGTAAGAACAACGAGGCCTAGGACGGAAGAATTTGAGGAGCGGCAAAATTTGATAATTATATTTGAAAAGTGACTATAGCTAAACCAGGGAAGCTCTTACAACTGATGACGGAAAATCCATCCAAGAACGCTGAATCAAAATCTAACATACGTGGTAGGTGGTACTGCGCTTACCGTGTCAGCATAGTTTGGCGAAATATTTCAACTTATTCATGCTAACTGGCGCATTATCGGAAAGTTATATGCATCTTAAATATTTATAACTTAAAAAAAGCTGCAATAAACCCTAAAAAAAAGTTAGAATATCTACTGCAATATTAATATGTAGTATGTGCGCATATATAGCTCACCTCTCCCAAGAAATAGTAGTCCAACGGCATCTGGCTCTCCGGGTAAATGTTCTCTAAGTACCATCTGAAGCTTTTGCACTTAAGCCTCTGTCTCAGCGCTTTACGTTCGCTGACATCGCCCACAGGCACGTTCAAGGCGCCTGATCGTAATAACTCAATGTTTATAAATATAATTGACAATTTTTTATGTTATATGACTCTAACACGGACAACATAATTTAAAACTGAAAATATACTACTGATTCATGCCTGCTTATTTCGCATTGCATATTGTGAACTACTTTGTTTTAGACAATTACTATTGGGACCGTTTTTTTACCAAGGATTTTTGGCCTCAAGCAGCCGCACGTTAATTGATACTTGATGCCTTGCTGCTGAATTATGTGAAGGGTATAAGGAGCCAGTATGATAACAGGCTGTGACACGTTTAAATCCTCTGAAGTACCAACGCCTCTGCAATCTTTTTTGCTTTAAATAATCCGTTGGCTATAATACCCACTTACCTCCAGGTAGACTATTAACTCCTTAGCGGTTTAGTTCGACCTGTTGGCGATAGTAGGCTAATCATCTTTACTACGTGACGAAAACAATTAGGCGCATGACAGCTAACACGTCATTAGAACTAGGGACGGAACCCCGGAACGGTGATTGGTCACTGGGGGCAGCGCGGGGATTGACGCATGGTGCGGGCGACGAAACCGCATTCCTGTCATGTGCCTAATTGTTTTGGTCAAGTAGTATTCTTCACATTTTATAATTAATTTACTACTAATAATAAATGAAGTATTTCATTTATAATTTTATTTTTTATTTTTTAATAAACAATCACAATTTATTATTAAGTACATCAAACTTCCCCATTAGTTTTTGTTAATAACGCAAATAATTGTTAAAATACTAAAACTGTGTCAAATACTACAACTGCTTATTCGCATGATTTCCAAAACAATGTTACTTGTATGTTAGCAACGTTAAAAAGGTTAAATGATTATGATTATTGCATGCATTTGGTACTAGTAGCGTTTACGTCTCGCATGAAAGCAAAGCAAAAAAAAAATCATGCAAGACGCAATTGATATGAGACAGAAATCTGATTTTTGGATTGATTGCATATTATAATAACCACGAGTATAAATATAATATATTTTTTTTTTACAAAATTGAGATAAATAACCAATTTTTAACTTTTTGTCAGATTTCTGTTTCTCTATACGCCACAAAAAACATAAGTCATGTTATCCGACAGCTCACCTATTTTAAATTTCAACTCTACCCGAAAAACATGTATTTAAATTATTCTGTACTAAACATACAAAGTACATTCGCAATAAAATCTGTGCCAATATATTTCTATATTGAGTTATAAAGTACTAAAATACTATTAATATTATAACCATAGAATTACGTAAATGTTAGAGAAAAAGAGCAATAAAAACGAAATTTACTGTGGCTTAGGCTGCGTAGCTGGTAGCGAAAAATATTTTACTGTTTGCTAGTACGGTACAAATTTTGCAATTGGTTTAAACTAACTTCCCGCATATAAGCAAGATACTTGAAATTTTAAATATATTTCAGAACTGGATGATAATGCAATATGAATTCATTTTCTTAAAACTTATCATTCAACTGTCGAATGTTCTGTGTTCTGTTCTGTTCTGTTCAAATGTAATGTACGTAAACAAAAATATAAGTAGTTTTACAAAAATAACTGATATTGATTCTGTAAATACTAGGAACAGACACAAGGTAGTAGTACTGGTTACTTGACTCCACCGAGTCAGTCATTCATTCTTGGGGTGATGTATACGCTTTTACAACAAAATCCCAGAAAATATACAAAATTTGACCTGCTCAAAGTTCAAAAACTTTATTAAACTAAATTTGTATAAAAAGCGTTATTAACATTAAGAAATTTATGGATGACGAATTCCTTAAAATGAGGTGATTGCAACTAAGCTGTTTCTAATTTGTTTTGTGTTGTTAATTGTGTAACAGTTTAAAACTGTTATTTTTAAAAAAAAATGTCCTGTTGGGTTTCTTGCTGGTTCTTCCAAGGACAGTGGTATTTTTTTTCAAACTAGTGGTAACTAAACTAAAGAGTAACTTTAAATAAGTATTATTTATAATCTATATTGAATAAAAACGTTTCTGTTCCTGTTTCAACTCACGTTTAGATTTCTTTAAATGTAGCTAAATATCTAAAAATTGCCGCAGCTAAATATTTTCAACTATGTGTGAAATTTTTTTAACCAATTTACCGTATACAAAAATAATTAGTTATTATAAAAATGATTATTTTATAAAAATTATATTTAATTATTATAATAGTATAAAAATTATTGAAAGTGTCTTTGGCCGCCACTCCGTATGTCTGCATTGACCTTTTAGTTTTATACACTATAATCTGTTTATTATGATAATACTAGTGACGTTTGACGAGTTTACGTTATACGTGTTTCTGCACATTTTTAATAATATTATGTACAAAAATATAAATCGCCTTACCTTGAAAAAAATGTTCAAGAAAGAAATTAAGTAATGAAATAATTATAACAATAAATAAATTTCAAATGGATAACGGTCAAAACGTCATCGAACTCATGGTATAATAAATTATAATTTATCGTTTTGGCACTGGTCGAAAATTTTACCGCAAAAAAAAGTCGAGTAGCGAAAAAATGAAAATAAGCGAGCTGCGCGATGCGCTGAGATGGACCTGGATTGATATTGTAGTAGAAAAGCTTCCAGTCGTCGAGCCAGACCTCGGCGAGGCGGGCGTTGTTGTGGTTGACGACGCGGCCCGTGCCGCCGGGGAACGAGTACGGCGTGGTCTTGCGGAACACGTGGCCCACGTGCGAGCACGGCGCGATCTCCAGCGTGCCGCCGCACATCCACACCTGCCCGCGCACCCGCGCACCCGCACCCACGCCACACTCACTCACTTGCAACCGTCGCGCGGTACCCCACCAATCCAGCCATACACGCCACGCCTACCATCCTCATCAATGAGGACTAATAACCTTACGCTCACTACATGTCGCTAGTTGGGACTGACGTAACTTATTTGTCTCGCAGAGGGTCACATAATATGTAGTATCATCATCGTTAAAAAGCAGTCTTTTGGGTTATCCATTTCTAATCTAATGAATGCTAAATATAAGTAATATTTCAGAAAGATGCAATAATTTTTACACTTTCCTAACAATTGTGACTTCCCCGCTATGAGATCTGTCAAATATCATCTTCATTGCAAAATGGCGCCGCCCTAGTGGCATAAAAAGTCATTGACCGTAGATTGGCAATTTTAGTCAGAATATCTCGTTTGGAGATATTATTTATAGCAAAGTGTATTAGAAATTGTATTTCAGCTTTAAAAAACGCCTGACACTAAAAGTACACTAAAACCATGTCGTCTGTGTCGTTTCGTGGATAAAAAATAATTTAAAAACAGATTTTTAATTTCAAATCAACTATTTATATTTATGTATTTGTAGCTTGTTTCTAATATATGGCTATAAAATTATAATATTTCAAAACTAAAAACGCGTTAGGGTATCGAAGTCAAGAAAATTTCTTGTGACGTACAAGTATTTTTAATTTTATCATTTGCAATTTTTTTAAATTGAAAAATATTAATATATACCTTAAAAACGAAAACTAGTTCTTGGAGACTACAGAAATTCTTATATAAAATGACCTATAAAAAGATACACATGATCTACCTCGTAATTAATAAACCTACCTTAGAAGTCAATAAAACCGTTGCAAATTTCGGAGATATTAAGTTAAAATTTTTATAAAATTTCAATTAGATTCTATAAGTTTACATGGCGGGGTACCGCGTTTATGTTGCAAGTGACATAAAACCAACCCATTACCTCGACCATTAAGAAACAATATTCACCAGTTTAATATCAAAAAATGAAAACAAATTTATGCGTATTTAATTCACATATAGATAATATTATAAAAGCGCAGCAGCGTTTCTAAAACTTATAAACCAATTTTAAACCAGTAATGAAAAAGTGATGTTTAGACGATAAAGCAAATTACATTTAGACGATAAAAATATTCACTTTTTCTTCAATTAAAAGGTGATTTGTTAAAAATCCTAACCAAACTATTTTAAAAGTTTAGTATAAACTAATTATTAAACCAGAAAAAAGTTTGAGAAACACTGAGCAAATTCGTTCTGATTTCTGACATTGAGATGAGACACTAAATAAATATTTGATACACTAACAAGTTATCCATAAATTTGCTTTACTGCTTAACTTGATAGTATTCGATAAACGGAACAATACACCGGTGAATTCTGTTTAGAAATGACGTAACTAAGGCATTGTTAGCAACTCAGTTTCGTCACCTGCTGAATTATTAAAGGCCGTAAAACAAATACACTTTTATCGCGAACAAATATCAAAATCCCTTTAACAAGCAATATGAAATTTACAGTTATTTTAAATAAATTTTAGCGTGAATTATTCATGTTCTTTATATTTACGTGAATATAAGACTTTTACTCTTAGGTAAATATCATATTGCTTTACCCAAATTCTACAAACAGACATATTAAAAATGTTAATTTCGATTAAAGGTTAATTAGGCATTAGTTACACAAAATGACAGACACAAAATACTGAACATCAATGGTGATATGTTAATTTGACAACAAAAATTATGTTATTCTATTAAGCCATGATGACTGAGAAGAGCTGTGACAAATAAAGTATTTATAAAAAGTGGAAGTGAATTTTATTTTAAATTTGAGAAGTGAAGTTACTCCATAGTTTTCTTTTTTTATCACACGAGAATTAAGCAAGCAAATTAATACTGTTTACTTGAAAATGAAATTCTGGCTGATTAGATCCTTTTTAAACAAATTTACTTCATATGAAAAAATTGTACGTATGGTTGTTGATAGTACGTAAGTACGTATAAGTATTGTTTTTTTTATTTCTGTACATAAATATTCCAAATTCATTATTTAAAACAATGTGTTGACGACATTTTTCTCATGATTAGCATTATACCTGTTTTGCAAAATAGGAGACAATAAGATATTTGCTACAGCTCTTCACGCGAAAAGAATTGCTGTGGATACAGACTCCATACATAAATTACATTTAAATGTATTTAATAAACTCCAAAACACTCTTCATTGCTTCTGCATTACGAAGAAGCGTAAGAAAAAAAAAAGAGTAAAAAAAGGTATAAAACAGCAGAGGAAAAACATAATTGCGTTACGGAAAACTGACAAGCTGAAAAAATACAACATTAAAAGTAGAAAAATAAAATGTAGGGAAGACACACAGCGAAATAAGCATGCAAGTAAAAATGAATGCAGCTGCAATGGCGGTTAGTTGTAAATATTATGTTAAAAAGCTCAAATCTTCAAGTGTTAATGACATGTTCACAAAAAAATTTTACTTATTCAATGTTATCCCAAGCCACAACAAAACTTTATCAATGTACCAACGACCGCTATCATTTTGTACTAACTACGATACATATAAACAAATCTGAAACGAATTTTCGCAATTTTTCTCGTAGTAGTCCACGACTTTCAGATGTTTTTGGTATCATTTTGGCGTTAATGAATGAATTATTTTAAATAAACTAAATAATAAGATAATTTAAAACATGTTAAATATGTTTTTAAAATCAATGAAGTTTACTACTACTACTGTACTCAATGGAAAAATCGTTTCAATCATAAGAAGGTAAAATGTTAGCGGTCCCGGCACGAAACAATCCAAGGTCCGAACCTGGATTCATGGCGTAATAGAACTCGCCCCACTCGTCCATCCACACTTCGGCGACGCGCGCCGCGTTGTGGAGCACGACGTTCTGAACGCCGCCGGGGAACGAGTACGGCGACTTGTCGCGGAACACGTGGCCCACGTGCGAGCACGGCACTATCTCCAGCCGGCCGCCGCACTGCCACACCTTGCGCCCACACCACACGTTAATGCCACCTCACACCGATACGGGACGCCACGGGGCGCATACTTAGCGCAATAGAATATGGTACTTATTCACTACTGGAAAAGTTCACATTTCATTGAGAGCCTTTCTAAGTTCGCCGAACGAGAAAGGCCCGGTTGCGCCTGGTGCTTGGTGTTCAGCACATCCCTCCTACCCCGCTCTGTGTGAACTGACGTTTAAGAGAAAGGCTTACTTACTAGCCTTAGAAAGCATTTAATGAATAATAGAGAAAAGATCAAACGTCTCTCTACATGAGGGTTTTCCAACTAAATTCTGTACAGAAGATGTTATTTAGAATTGGACGCGCACGCAAAAGAAAAGCGCTGCTTATGGCATCCATAAAAAATCTGCGTCTTCGGCGTTTTCTCAAATCTTCTTTTAAAAAATTTAAACGACATAAAAGTCTAAGAAAATTTAGTATTTTTACTTTGGGACATTTACAAAAAAAAAACCTTTTAAGAGTAACTAAAAAGCCTTGTCCAATTAACACGAATTACTTTCACGTACGGACGACTTATGTTATCGATATGTTGTCATATTTTTGTTTGGGCAATAATAACAAGAATTAATGAGATAAAGAAAAAAGAAACGATATCACGAATACAATCTGTACAAAGCATACGATACCCGGAAGCTCATCTCAAGGTTCTCTCCACCCCAAATGTCCATGCCCTCATCATAGGAGCCGATCTTATAAAAGTACTCGCGGTCTATCGCGAACAACCCTCCCGCCATTGTCGGTGTGCGTAACGGTGCTGTACGATCACCACCTCGTCTTGACATCTCTCGTTCCGGTACTCGATACCTGAATGTAGAAAATAGACTATTTATTAAGAGTGGGTAGCAGCTTAATCCATCACTTGATCCTACCTGGGTTCGATTGTATCTTTCTACTTGGGGAAATGCCAGGAAGATGTTAGCCTCCATAACGGTACATGCATCTTGTTATTGACTAAAGTAAAAAAAAAATCAGACTAGCGACGGTGAGCAACGTTAAAACTGCGTGTTGTCTATGATTGCTACCTCTGATTGCCGACTCCGTGGCCCAGTAGCTTTGTATTAAGTTGCGGCGCTAAGGTGCGCGGGTTTGAATCCCACACGGAACAATTATTCGTATGTCCTACAAATAATTATTCCTGTATGGATGTTTGACAAAATCCTAGTGGAGGTAACACTTTTAAAAAAAAATCATCCATTGAGCATAATGATTACAGCAACGAAAGACAACGAAATGTCGAGCGATGCTCCATGCTACGGAACAATGCAAGGTTGTGGGATGTTTTACGTTCACTACAGTATGTAATATACATAAAACATTTCTTATGTCTTCTATCTGTGACCTTGTTTGATTGAATTTGTTTGTACGTGTCCATTGGCTGCAGTGGCTGCTAAACATTAGGTGGATCGCTAGATGCTGCTGACGTGTTACTCAAGTATTATAAAAAATATTGTCAAACTATCTATGTATATTTTAATAACAATGTATATATGTACTTATATGTTTCATTTAATGTGGACCAAATACAAAAACAAACACAGATTAAGAAAAAATTGAACATTTTGGACAATGTGTGGTAGTGAATATTGTAATAGACTTACATTTAATTCTTACATTACAATCTTACATTCTAATACCTAAATAAACTAAAATAATATTTTATATTATAACATAATAGGACATTAATATATATATAAAATAAATAAATATGGTAGACATACAATATACTCAATTTTTTTATAGAATAAGTCCACCTGGTGGTTAGTGGATGCTTTATTTTTTTTTTTTTTTTTTTATAGTAGAAGGGGGCAAACGAGCATGCGGCTCACCTGATGGTAAGTGACTACCGCCGCCCATGAACAACTGCAACACCAGGGGAATCGCAGATGCGTTGCCGGCCTTTTAAAAAGGAGTACGCTCTTTTCTTGAAGGTCCCTAAGTCGTATCGGTCCGGAAAAATCGCTGATGGTAATCGATTCCACAAGGAGGTCGTGCGAGGAAGAAAACATCTTCTAAATCGCACAGTGGTGGACCGCCAATCATCCAGATGGTGTGGATGGTATCGGGAGTTCTGCCGCGATGTGCGTTCGTGAAATTTGGCGGCTGGGATTAATCCGAACAATTCCTCAGAGCACTCCCCATGGTAGATGCGAAAGAAAATGCAAAGGGATGCAACATCTCTTCGCAGTGCCAATGAATCGAGCCGATCGGAAAGGGCTCGGTCGTCGACAATTCGAGCCGCTCTGCGTTGGATGCGGTCAAGTGGAAGGAGCTGGCACTGGGGAGCCCCTGCCCAGAGATGGGAACAGTATTCCATGTGAGGCCGAACTTGCGCCTTGTAAAGTAGCAGGCGGTGTGCCGGCATGAAATACTGTCCCGCTCTGCTGAGCACGCCAAGCTTTTTAGAGGCCAATTTGGCCTTCCCTTCCAAGTGACCACGAAACTGCACGTCACTCGATATGTCGACTCCGAGGATACCGATACTGGCTGAGGCAAGAAGGGGAGTGCCTTGAAACTGAGGAGATACGACAAAGGGGTTCTTTTTAGCGGTAAACGCGCAAACTTGTGTCTTCTGAGGATTAAATTGGACTACATTTAGTCGCCCCCAATCCGAGACTTTGTTCAGCAAAGACTCGACTTCAGACACAAGTTTGTTTGATGCTGTAGCCCATATACATCTAAATCTATATTCGATTAATAATCAAAATGCAAATTTGTTTTCACCCTTGAGGACTAAGATGGAAGGCCTCGTTTACAATAAAAAGGGTCTCCAATTCTCTACACTCACCATACAAATACAGCAGCATTGAGCTGCTATTTTACGCCGGTTTACGTGTAATGTATAATAAAATAAATTAAAATTAACCGGTTCAGTGCGGATGGCACGCCAGGCGAGCCATCGATTACTTTTGTGTGTGGCGTATGACAACCGAGTCGTGTCTTTTTAAAAATCGTTATAACTCGCTCAAATTGCATTTTTGGAAAAAATATCCTGAATAAAATATTCATTATTTTGCAATTAGTTCATGCCTGCGGCTTCGTTTTTGGATATTTTGAAAATTTGAAATTTTTAGGTGTTGAACACCCTTTTTTAACTTGTACATGAAACTCTTTTTACTTTGTGAGTTTTCAATCATGTTGTGGAAAAATAGTCTAATAAGTAACAAATAATAGCACTCATTGCGATCGCTCACAAACTCAAGTTGTAAATAAATTTCTGGAAAACAAATCTCCTGTTAAAAAAAAACCAATGCGTTTGTCTTATTGTTTAATTTTGCTTAAAATGGTTGAACTGCCGTCTTATTACTATCATATGGCCGAATAGACCTACGAAGTACCATGTGCTCTTGTGATATGGTATAAGGTTTATTTTTGCTTGAAACAGTTTGAAACCGTTCATGCATAAAAAAAGTTTGCTAATAAATAGTCTTTTGTCAATCCGCCGCCGTTTGTTTCCTTTTGAAAACACTTGTTTTGCTATTCTTACTAATTAGAGGTTTTCAAATCGACTTTACTTTTACATTTGTATAACATTAAATAATATTCAACATTTGTAAATATTAATGAATCATAAACCTTATTTTTTTCCAAATTAAGGTTCTCGATTGTTTGATATTTACAAATATTATTATTAGGTGAAAATTTAATTTAATAAAACCAAGGTTTTCCAGGGTGATTTAGCTGTAAGGTCAGTTGGAGCAAGTGTGGTATAGTTTTTTAAACATTACATTTTGTTGTAATTATTTTTATTAAACATATACAAGTTCAGTAGGTACTACTGGATAGCTTTGTTTCTTTAGTTGTAAATTATCATTTCGTTGGGCAATATAGACTACGTTTTGTTAAGATTTTACGTGTTTGAATAAAACTGTTCGCTTAGACGCACTTTCCCTTGGAACGGGGGTAAGTGCAGCTAGGCTTAACAAATCGTTTTTATTTTGTTATTATTAGAATAGGGTCTATTTTTCGAACGAAAGCATATGAGCAGAAATAATTTATGCAATCAGATATTTAGTGCGCCTAAAATAAGTACTATTATCGCTCAAAAACAAACTTTGGGGTAAGTGCGCCATACGTTTGTTTTCAGGGGTACTGAACATTTTTAAAACGGAAAATGATATTCAATTAAATGGTAATATTTATGATTTTAACAAGACGTTAGTGAGTACAAAATAATAAAAAAAACGTTTCAAGGGACTAATGTTTTATTTAAAGTGGCTAGTGTACCTGTTGCTTATATAAAGTTTACAAAATCTCAGTCGTAAGTAAAGCAAATTGAATCAGTCAAAAAACGCTTATCATTTATCTTTTAACATTTATCAAATAAATCCTTTATTAAAAATAGTATTTTAGTAAATCTCTTATTTTCTTATTCTACTTAATAACTTTCTCTCTTTGGAATGTAGAATGTGTTTGAAAATTAGGAACTTTTCTTTTTACTTTTCTAACTAGAAAATATTTAACGACAAGAAAAAAAACTGTAAAAATAAGTCTATCTTAAATAATGGCATTCCTTTGCTAATCAATAAACTAATGGTGGGTAGAACACATTCCATTAATCATATTATCGTACCATTTTTACTGTATATTGTAATTTCCAAACTAAAGTTCGCCTTTATAGTTCCTGAGATTTCGTGATTAGTCAGTCAGTATTTCGCTTTTTTATATTTAGAAGATGTATAGATGGCTGGTAGAAAATGCCGAAGACATTAAGTCCGCCTATGTAATAACTTTAATTGCATAAAGTTTAATAAATATAGAAATTATGTATTATATATGTATATGTAAATAAAGAAATAAGTAGTAATACCACTTACTCTCTTAAAATGTTTTCAACTTCTGGTTCGGGGTAAGTGCGTCATAGTTGCACACTTACCAATTACTAGTAGACGCGCTTGCCTCACTTCGTTTGTTTTAGGTTATAAAAATAAAAGCATCGCTAAAGTTAATTACCTGCGACATAGAAACAAAAAATATACAGGTTTATGAAGAATAATGTTTAGAGAAGGCAATGACCTGGTTCAAATGATATGATATGCACAGTACTTGTCAACATGGACTCCACGAAAAAAACAGGGTCAAAACAAAATGACGACTCACATCGTACTAGGCCCAGTGACGACATCTTAAATTTTACTTCAGAACTAAAATTTGATGTAGAAGAACAGCGTATAGCGCGTTTTTCAAATACTGTATTGGTTTATGAGATATTGATGTTCGTCGCACTTGACCCGTAGGGGCACTTGCCCCGACTGACCTTACATACTTATATAATATTTTTATAAAAAAAAAAATAGTACAAAATGTTTGTGACCTCTGCATAAAAAAGTCACTTACTCTCAATTTCAAAGAAAACACGTAGAAAAATACGTAGTTACCCACTAAAAGCAAGTATCCTTCCGTTTGTAACTGATGTTTGATGTCAACTAAACTTAATTAGGTCTAAACAAGTAAAAAAAGCATAAAAAGATAATTATTTTTACACATGGCTGATGGCACAATAGACACGCCTGGCACTTAACACGCCAGGCGTGTCATGAAATATTTGTTCGCCGCCACAGCTAAAAGTTGTCGAAAATTGGTGCCGCAACGAATCGGTTAAAAATAAATTTTAATTCACTTTATAATTTTGATAACTTATAAATGTATATATAATATATAACCTTATAATGTCAACTTTATGCAAAAGCATTGTTTATCAAAGATTTCACCGTGTCGAATAAGATTACAAACATGATTGCTTTAGTATGCTTTTGCATTCAGTTAGTATTCCGAATACCGTAACAAATCGATTGAAACGCATTTAT